GCTCACTATAAAAACGTGCTAACAAGTCAGGTGGAAATGTGATACCAGCTTAAGGAGACGGTACAGTCTCTGGGGCAATGAATGTGTCTTTTTTTCTTATCCTGGAAACTACCTGGCATTCTTTTGGGAGCCACAAAAACAAACAAGAGACCCTTACTCATACCAAAAGTGATCTTTCACGGAGCTGTGGAGAAGGCACTAATAAAACCTCACCTGGAAAATAATCAAGATCTTACTATAGCTACTTGTGAGAATTAAGAGATGGCTCTTTGCACCAACACCACATGGAAGACCGTCCATCGTAAGGAGGGTGAGAGAGGCACAGGAACTTTTCGACTGTAAAAAGATCTTGACTGTTATGTACAGAAATCATCCTCTAAGAAAGGACTTATCAGGTACAACCCCTCCAAACCCAGGGTCCAGAGATGTGAATGAATGGCCAGGTTTGAGGAAGAGGAGAATGGTCACTTGTGGCAGTCAGAAGATCATTGGTAGGGGTGCTGCTGAAAATCACTTCTTCTCCAAGGAATCACAAGGTTTATGTTTTATCTCCCCTTTTGACCCAGAATATTTACAGCTTGTGAAGAAAGAAGGCAGGAACAAAATGCACATTGGAACCCGCTTCTCTCAACAGAAAATCTCAGTTCAAAACCCAGAGAAATGAGATTTTAACTGAAGAGATTAAGAGATCTCCCTAGGACACTGTGAAGAAAGAAAAAGCCCTTCCACATTGAAGACTAAATTTTGTGTCAGTGCATCCATGTAAATGATTTTTCACAAGACAAGCACAGAGGACTTTTCCTCCAGGAAAAGGAGTAGGTACCTGGGCGCTTTTCTGCTTCAAATAAGCTACTCCTTCCGAAACACCTGCAATATTAATAAGCTAGGTAAGCAAGCACCAGTTTTCTTTTCTGAATTACCTGAAATGTAAACAATTTCTAATTCTAAATCATTTACATTAAAACTTCAAGGACAGAACCTGTCTCCCTGATCCAGCAGACGCACTTTCATGACGTGCATCTGTCTTTTCAAGCCTAAAATATATTACATAAATGTACCTAATAAGTTCAGAATCTTGTTCGCTCAGAAAACATTTTCAACTGCAAATCTCAATAGAAAATAAAAAAATAATCCATTTTAGATAATATGGAGGAGCTGCAAATACTTAATCTCAAGATGAGCTTAGAAAATCTTCTTTTTAAAGCCAGAACAGGACTTTGCTTTTCTGTTTACTCGGTCTTTAGTAGGATGAGCATTGTTAGTACTGCAAGCAGTTACAGCTTCCACCTTGAGAGTCACTTCATGTTCCTGCTGTCAGACATGAAAGATTCTTCTCCTCTCACTAGCTCGATAAAAATCAGAAGTTGTATTAGTACAATCCGAACACAATGAAATAGTACTTCCAAACCATTTCTCTGCAGAATGGGAATGCTACTGTATAAAGAAACCCGTACACACTTATATACCAGCAAATTTAAATAATAGTCACCTAAAAGAATTTGGTTTTGCTTTTGTTTTGCACAAATAGTCAAGAACAGACTGAGTGGCACAGACTGATAGGTACATACAGGTTAAGACTCAGTGTGCTTGATTAGGCAGAGTTGATATTAAAGGAAACCCCATATTGACTCTCTTTTTCAGGACAGCCCTATAGACAGACTTGAAGAAGGATCCTGCTAGTCTTCTCACCCAAGTATATTGCAGATGTACAAAGTCCAGCTGCAAGTATTTAACTGTATTCAGTGGCAAGCAAAGCACATGCTGAAAGCTTACGGCAAAGTAAATAATGAAATAAACCTCATCTCTCAAAAAAGCACTGCCCAAGAAGATGGGGTGGGGGGGAATCAAATGCCATTATTTTTGCAATCGCAGTTAAGATATTGTAAAACTTCAAGTAAAATTACAAAAACCAAACTTTTATTAATTTTATGAGTCAACCTGTGTGTGTTCCAGACTAATTGGCAACTATGTTGACTGAGGCAGCAGTATTTCACAAACCATTAAATCACCTGGAAGTGCTTTCCTCCTCCATCAAGCATTCTTAAACCTTTCTCTCTTCACAAAAGCAAAGACAGACAAGATGTTGGTTCAGCTAAATCAGCCTACTTAAACATGACATGTATGACCAGATCACTCACACCTTCGGCAAGAATGATTTTTCTTAGGTCAAATAGAACACATGCCTAATAAAAAATTCTGAATTCCTAATATGAATTAATAAACAAGCCTTCTGTGCTTTTTGTACTTGACAGTTATGGTTTTCAGATATGACAGTACAGCTACAAATGCTCTGTTACTTGACCTGCAATTTAACAGCAGGGTTTTGATTTGCCAGACCCCTCAGCCTGATGGAGAAGTCAGAATCCAGCGACCGCCTCTCTGATGGTCTTCACCAACAATGCAATTTTGACCCCTGTAGTCAATGGCAAAACACTGCATGGGTCAGGATTTCACTTAATAAATGTTCATCTTCCTCTGCTGTGAAATAATATAAGCGTACAATACACTCATGAAATATTAAATACATGTACAATTTCAAAAGTATGCACTTATCATGATGCAGACTGTTTTACTAAGCAAAAAGCACATGATGCTAAGGAACACCAGACGACTTTATCTCAGCTGTGACAAAACAAGGCAAAACCTAGCTTTTCCTGTCACCTTAAAAGGGAGAACGGGCTTTAGAAATATCTGGTGAATTAGTTTCTAAAATAAACCAATTTATTTCTAAAATAAACATTCATCCTGTCTTAACACAGACTGATGTGCATATAGAAGCATACCACGATTTTATTATTTTATTTTTCCTTCATCAAACACGACTTTATACAGTAACTTAAACATTCAGCCAACCACAAAATTGTATCACACACAGAACTCAAATGAGTTATTTCTCAGTTTTTTTGAATTATGACTGACATTACACATCATAATGCAGACAGAACTGAGCAATAAAGCCATGTAATATTCCAAGACCTGTAGAAGGGTGATGCTAAGACAGCATTTTTTATATGACATTATTTTGATTCACCTACTCAAATTCTTAGTATACCTCAAAATTTAGATTCAACAGTGAACTCAGTGATCAGTGAAACTCTCATGAGTTTAAAGAATTGTGGACTCCACTAATTTTTAGATTTCCAAGTACTTTTTCATTGAAAACTTCCCCTCAAAAGATCATTTTGCATCAAAATTATTTCACAACAACATTTACATGTTTCAGATTTTTTTGCTTTTGTTCGAAACGCTGTATTTTGAGAGCACAATGTCACCCACTGAATGTACTGTTGACGTATTGTCGTTGTGCTGTGGATTCTGATCTCCACAAATTTAATTCACTAATGTCATTCCCTGCAGTCATAAACTATTCCTGTAAAACTGTTTCTCCCTCAGTGGTGAATTAAACTTTGCTCTAATAACAAGGATTCAAAACAACAGTGAAATACTGTATTTTTCCAACAATTGTATATTTAAAACAGAACGGGTAAAAAAGATTGCAGCAATTGTACTCACAAGAGTTACTTCATTTTTAACTTGAGGAATATGCTTTACCACGTTGGTTGACCTTAACATCTCTGTGGGTGGAAAACTTCCTTACTTGTTTCCTCTTTCTGACACTTTTTTGTTCATGAATTATGACTAGTGATCAACGTTGCCCGGACATGACTGTGCAAAATTGTCTAAGCTCTGTTCCCAGTAAACCTCATAATCTAATCACCAAGAACAGGTTATTCAAGTAGCATTGGTCTGTAAGTAAAATAGGCTGAACAGTTCTAACTGTGTTGATGGTGCATTTACAAACAAAGTACTTGTTAACTACAAAAAAGGCAAGCTCACATACTGTAGGATGCCGAGCCATTATCAGATTATGACAACAGAAAATGGAAAACGGTCACTTAGCTGATTCATTTCTGTTTTTCCAAATTTGTGTTTGTAAAGTCATCGGGCTATGGCAGTCTAATTTTAATTTTATCTGTAGAAATACTTTTCTTCGGTAACTAGACAGTATTTCTAAGACAGACCTGGAAAACCCTCAAGGAAAGAGGTTTCAGAGTTGCATCGTGAGAGAGTTATACTCTGTCTTTAGACCGCATCAGTGGCCCAAAGGAATGAGAAACCCAGGAGCAGTCATCCTCCTAAAGATTTCATCAGTAAAAATGCAATCACCAGATAGAGAGGAGCTGACATAGTAGAAGGAACTCAAATTACATCCTAACTCTGGAATGCAGCTCAACATTTCTGCAGAGTTCCATTTACATTAGGAGAATGGAGAAGATGGAATAAAACTGTTGCAGTGTTTTGGATCCTAGTTTCTAGAATATTTTTATTATTTTTTAGTAGTAGTACTAGTAGTAGCTGTAGCAGTAGTAATAGTCCTTTCAGGCAAAACACCACCAAACTCCCTGCTGTGTTTTGAACTAAGTCTCAAAAGCATCAAAATTAGCACAATACTTTCGCTCTTTATTCCTCCTGTTCTCTTGGACCAGATGACATTTAACTTGTTCTATGATGCTTAAGTATTTATTATGCCGCTGAAAAATACCTGCTTCAGGATACAAAAATACCTGAAGAACAATCACATTTTAAGTCAGTATGGTCCTGACAGAAGCCAGGTGATCGATTCCATCTACTGAACAGCCTTTTCTTTAGCATCAACAGAGTATTTGGATGTTTGGAAAGGAGATAGCTGTGCGTCCGTTTGCCCTGCGCCTTTGTGACCAGCCTGATGTGTCCATGCTGGGGGGGACAGAAGGACTTTTTTCATTCCGCATTAACAAACAGGACAGCACTTTGATCTCTGAGATGGCTTCCAGGACTTTTCCGTATGGTGCTGGGTAATCACAGAATAAGGAAGTCCCAATTCTAAGGCATCCCTAGAAAACTGAGTTACTTATAGATGACAGACACCCACATTTTTGAGCCACTGTCGTGTAAAATACTTCTCTATCCCATTTATACATACAATTAATGAAAGCATACTAAAGAGACACAGAACTTACATAGTCATGAAAGGCTTTTGCTTCACTTGAATGTTCACATGTTTCTCGTCTTTCTGGAGCTGCGCAGTAGAGATCCCAAAATACACTGCAAGTTAAGAAGTTACAGAGATGGTGAGAAAATCATTATAATACTCGCGTATGTTTTATGGCGTATGCACACCACGCATTGCACGTTCTTATATAGAAACAGACATATCACTCCCTCACCAGGGGATGAAAACACCTCTACGAAAGAGTCTAGCTTTGTAAAACATCTATGAAGAATCAAGTCCTGCTATCTGACTCTATGAGGCAAGCAGTGCTGTATTCCTTTAATACCACTACAGTATAGAACAAGAAGCTAATCTAATACACAAGGTTTAAGGGTATAAAGCATATAACTGAAGCTCTGCATTTAACCTCATCCCTCTGGCAACTGCTGCAATTAACGTCCACCAAGCACAGGAAGGGACAGATTCGTAGTACATAAAAAGGCAAGAAACAGGAGAGAAAACTGGGAGTTCTTCCAATGTCCAATACTGTGCTTTAAACAAACATTCCCAGAGAAACACGTGTATGGACAAGAGTAGGAAATAGATGGGTTTGTTCTTGGGTTGTAAAGAGTGAAAGGCAATGATGGTACTCCCATCGGTCTTCCTCCCCAGCCCCCTTCAAATAGAGTTATGCACAAATCAGTTCTAACACAACATTTCTAGAATGAAATTATGTGTATACTAGAACAGTTAAAAGAATAAAATCTGTTAAGAGTTTCACAGTGTTTTTTTATTGTTTTAGACTTAATTCTCTGTAACTTAGTCCAGCACCATAATACAGAACTGTGGAAAACTGAGCACTCTGCTGCAGATCATCAAAATCAAGGATAATGCAGATGTCAGAGATACACTTTCTCCTTGCCAGGCTTCCATCACACAGCTAAAAGCTACGAAAGAAAGGTCAACGAAGAATATGCCACCTTCCATGCAGCTCTACGAATCAATTCTGTTTTTGTGTCAGATGGGACCACTTTAAAACTTGTAAATTCTTGTACTCCTCACAGTTGGACATACTCTCTGTATTTCGTATTCTTTCAGATGCCAGCATATTGGACATATTCAAATCATGTGACAACTAATAAATACCATGGGTAAATAGCAATGACTTTTCTCCTTGGGAATTCTACACATGCACATGTATCTCTGCACATGAGTATATATAAGCAAATGGTATCATGCATAAAAAATTACAAGTCAATGCCATGTCTACCCATATTCTGATCTGAAATAAATTGTGCAAATGCATACACTGCTCCACCAAGTCCATGCTAATGCACGTTGCCTCTCAAAAAGGCTGGCAGCTTGGGTTCAGCTAATTACTTTCATATGCTATTCCGTGACTAGAATGTGGGATGAAGACTGAAGAAGCAAACACCTATATGCAGAGTCTGTATATACTGTTTTTTTCAACTGTTAATGCTTTACAATACGTAGAATGATCTCTTAAATGCACAATATACTGCAAGGCGGTGAAAAAAGAAATGCAGGCCACCTTCTTTCAAAGATGCTTTCTTATCAATGCACTATGCATTATTTCTTTTCCTGTATCTAGTATCTGCATCTTTTTCTATATGGAATTTTCTGTTCTTTCATTCCTTAACAAGAAAATAGTTCTTGATCCTCATCTTCACATTCCTTTTACAACACTCACCTGAATTTCTTGCCTCCAGCTGCTGGAACTAGCAATCGACATATTCTAAAAATCAGAGGAAAATAAAATTGATACTTACCACCACCAGGAATGCAAGAATCCTGGGGGTTCCCCCAGTGTGATGTTTTTTTCCCATCTTATCTAAAACAGAACAGACCAAATAATAACAGAGCTGTACATTTTTGTGATCACTGTGACTAACACACATTACACAGTTCAGGCAGACAGTAAAAAGAGAAAGAAGAAGATTTTGTGGTTATGAAAGGCTTTATCATCATCCATCTGGATGGCCATATTACTTACTTTATTACCCTTGTTCATACAGCTGATACTTAAAATAAGCTTTTCTTATTCTAGGAAAGCATATTTTACGGGTTTTTTGGTTTAGCTTCTGAAAAGAATTTTATTAACGATGTATTTTGCATCACTCCACCACTGAGATGTGTGTTATTTTAACATCAAAAATGCATGACGCTCCTCAAACAAAAGTGATAAAAAAGTATCGTTAAAATGACCTAAAAGATTTTCCAATTTGCACTAAGGAAAACACAGAAGATGCAGAACTAATGTCAGTGATTCAGCAGGTGGCAGTCTTCCCTCCACATCCAAAGCCAGATAGTGTTTTGTAATCCTCAAGGAGTGCTTTACTGCTAATGTGGCAAATACGAGCAGCACCAGTTATAACCCAGTTTCCCACCACTCAGTGAAAACGGAAAGCTGGTTTGGGTCAGTTTGCCCGTGTTGGCAACCTCTCCTGTTCAGGAGCTATACTGGCTGTGACTTCTTTCCCACCTAGGAAGCCTGGCTTCTTTAACACTGTTTTCAAAGGAAATGCAGTTTAAAAACTCTTACCCTTGACTTCACACTTGCTGATCAGCGAACGCACTAGGCAACACAACACACGGCAACAACGTTCTGTCTCTCTGCAATACTTCCCAAATGTTGCAATCTGACTACGATCACACAACTATTTTATTAATGCCATTGTCATTAGTTTGTCATTAACTACAAAATTAAATAGTTTGGGCTACAATAAAGCCCGTGTAACTGCTGAAGGAGCTCTGTTGCAAATAACTGGAGGTCCTGCAGAAATCCACAGAACACTATACAGAAGAATGTCTCATGTTAAAACTGGGTGAAAGTAGGGCGTTGCATGCACTCCAAATTCCTCCAATTACAACTCCACACAGCATTATTTCCTGTCCAATTTTGTTAAGAAAAAAAAGTTCAAACACAAACCATATTCTGCTCTAGAGACAGAAGTAATGGCAGACAAAAAGAGTATTATTTTAATGAAATGCTTAAACAGCCTTAATATGAAAGGTATTTAAAGATCTATATAAAAGAGTGCATAAAAGCTTACTATAGAAAGTAGATACAGTGTTCATAATGCAAAAGGGACTGGTAAAGCTACCATTTTCCAAAAGAGACTAAAACTTTCCAATTCTCAACTCCAACTTGATTTCCACATTGAATTCTTAAAGAGATTTAAACACAACTTCTGTCAACAGCTTGCAGAAGAATGTGTAGTTTGTACACCTAAAAATGTTCACTGCACTCATATGAAGTAACCCAGAGTAATTTTGATGTATTATTTGAACACAAGTATTCAAAAATAATTTTGCTATTTAAAAATTATTTTTAAAAGGTACCCTTGAGGCACTATCACTTCTGTTGGTAAAGTTGGCAGAATGAACCAACTGCATGGCGCTTAATACCCCACCCCACCCCCCTCCCACAACAGTAGTTAATATATAAAAAGCATCTTTTAGAAAGCCCCAGCTAAAGTGCTGGCAGATAGAAATATTAATAACAATGAAAAATATAAATAAAAGCCAAAGCTACTATGAAGGTATTATACACTCTTCAAACACACTCCTCTGAGGCATGATTGCTCCTCATGGGCACCGGGAACGGCTTGGAAGGACTTGTGTTAATCACCAGGAATACAGAGTACTTCTGAGAAGCTTCAAAAGCAGCATAATGAAGAGATGCAACATACAACCAAAACAAAAAAAATTGTTCCTGAAGTTAAAAAACCATTCAGTTAAGAGTAAAAACTATGTCTGTGCAGAAAGCCCTCACTATGTCTAAGCAGTATTCATTCTCTGCAGACCAGGGCTTGATGAGAAAATTAGCCCATTCACAGGTCTTGAGCTGGTCCTTTTTAACAGGACATATTTCCTCTTGAGAAATTTATTCAGAGAAGGAGCCTGAAGGGAACACGGAAATCTGAGGCTTGTTTGAGGGGTTTTTGTTTTGTTTTGTTTTTCAAAAAATACATACTTCTGTCTCACATGGCAAATGTCACTCTGTCTGATCACAGAGACTTAAAAATATTTATAAATAGAGTTACTAATTTTAGAAAAATACCCTCACTGTCAACTGTATCTATTAAGCTCATAACCAGTGACTGATTAACTGGGAAATGCCCACCTTCCTGGTCCATCCAAGCTAATGGGAATTATTCCTCCAGGGCTAGAACCTAACTTCCAGGATAGAAAATCTGTGGGATAAGGATCAGCTCTTCAAGGAACGCATAGCAGCTGGGTCACCAAAAGAAAGATTCTGGAGCAGAACAGCTTCTTTTGTTTCAAAAATGTGTGTACCCCATCTGAATAGCTGTATTCAACCTTCATAAGTAATGACATTGTTTAGATGAAAGCTAGTTGCGCTAGCCTCGTGCCATTTGGTGAATTGTATGATGAATTGGTATGAAACAGTTGTTCGGTTACCTCAACCCAGTACTTCATGCAATGTCTCCTAAAGGAAGTAAATTTGCAGATCAAGATACAGGAGTTATAGCCAACAAACTGAAGAGGTCTCTGCTCTCAGAGGTGCCCAGCAACAGGACAAGGGGCAATGGGCACAAACTGAAGCATAAGAGGTTTCAGTTGAATATGCTGAAAAACTTCTTCACTTTGAGGGTGACAGCCTTGAACAGGCTGCCCAGGGGGGCTGTGGAGTCTCCTTCTCTGGAGATATTCAAAGCCCACCTGGACAAAGTCCTGTGTAACATGCTCTAGGAGAACCTTCTTTAGCAGGGGGGTTGGACTAGATGATCTCCGGAGGTCCCTTCCAACCCTTGCCATTCTGTGATTTTGTGATTCTGTAATGCTAGATGAGCTTGAGGTCCTATGTTTTAGAGACGAAGGTACACAAAATTTTTGAGGCTGTACTAAACAAGGACCGCAAAGCATAGTTCACCTTCTAACTGAAAGATCATCAGAGGATTTCTTGACCTTACTGACTCATAGAATCAACAGAATCCCAGAAGAGGTCAGGTTGGAAAGGACGCTGAAAGATCATTTGGTATGGCCCTTTGTGAGAAAGGGAGCCTAGAGGAGATCACCTAGTACCCTATCCAGAAGTGTCTTGAAAAGCTCCAGTGATCTGTGGACTCTATCGTGTCCCTGAGGAGGCTGTTCCAGTGAATGATTGTCTTCACTGTAAAAAAAAAAAAAAATTTCTTTCTCGCCTCAAGATGAAACCCCTCCCTGTGCAACTTGTACCCATTGCCCCTTGTCTTCTTATGTCCCTTGTCTTCATGTGGCTCCTTATGAAGGCAGAGCCTCTGTTCTCTTTGTATCCACCATTTAAGTACCGGAAAGCTGTGATGAGGTCCCCCCAGGCCTTCTCTTCCCATCTCCTTCAGTCTCTCCTCATAGGGCAGGTTCTCCAGCCCTTTGACTTGTGGATCAGTTCTATGAAATTTAAACTTAACACAAAGCATTAGAAAATACAGGAATGCTTAGGACAGCCATCTCTTAAGTTATCTAGTTGCAGAGTGAATTCCATGATATCCAACTTAAATTTTCCTTGTCTTAATTTTGTTCCATTATTCTTAGCCATGTTCCTTGCCAGACCTTTAAGGAGGGGCTCTTACCCTTTGTCACTTATACATATATAGATACCACTGACCACTGTATAGGTCAGAGAATCTATGTATGCTTACTTCTTTTATGGCCAAATGTCCAGTTCTAGAGCTACTCTGAACTACCTCATCTTTAACAAAATCCACCCAGACTATTCTGGAAGGTGCAGACTGCCAGAGCAGAGAGGGCACTCAGCCCAAACAGCCATGCTTTTGAAGGAGGGACCAAACCAATACAAATTTCCTCCTGTACCATCTGGGTGTCTCCTATACCTCAAATACTCGATTGCTCACAGTAAGTTCGCTGCAACAGGACAGTTGCTTCTCAACACCCATGAGCCAGAAAAGGAGGAAAATACAGGGAAAAATGTAACTTTAATTACATCATAAATTCATGAGAAGACTTTTTTTGTGCTTCTCTCAGCTGATGTTCTCTTGTTATGATCCCACACACCAGCACACACTCTGTAACAAAACCAGCTGCCTCACATGGGGTACAGAGTTGGGGTAGAGCTGTTTGTGGCATACAGCCCTGGACTGAATGGGCATTACAATGCTAAGACCCCTCTACTACACAGTCATCTACCATATCTTTTCTGCTGCTTCTACCACTTGCCATTTAACCTGTGCATTTTAGTTTATTTCCTCCAAACCCTATTAGTGTACAGTTTTCTCAATCTGAACCTGTGCAAGTAACATTTTTTTTTCCAGGTTTCGCCGTATCAGTGATAACTGCCTCTGTGTTCCAACACACAACCATTTGCAAGTATTGTCAGTGTAGTGTTTACCCTTCTGCACCGCTAATGAATGACGTGAATAAACTCACAGCTTTGTGTGAAACCTAGCAGCCTCCTCAGACCAACTCTATACATACATTATTTGTCCCTGCCCCATGTTGACCATCTTTTGACTAGTACCAGTCTTAACTTGAAAGATTTGAAATATATTCTCATATTAAAGTCGTTCAGACCTGAGAATTTCTCTGTAACCCAAGACTAAATTAGTTTTAAAAGCTAAGTTTCAAGATACTGTATTGAATGTTTTCTAGAAATCCAAATGTCATACCAGTTATACTTCTGCCAACTCTCATTTTGCAAATACATCATAAAACCAAAATGAGCAAAATTAATCTTGCACAGTGTATTATTTACAAATGACAGCTATTTTGGGAAATCCAAGACGATACTCTCCATTATTTTCTCTCTTATTTTTCCATTGCTTTACCAAAGAGAATAAAGTTGTCAAAAACATAATTTGCTATAGACATAAACTGATAGTACCACAATTCTACCACAAACCTACCCCTTTTCTTTATTTCTGCTACGCCAATTTTTTATAAACGCCACAAACAAAGCTCTGGGTTCTCACCCTCCCCTCTCTCACCCCCAAAATGTCCTCACCAGTCTCGTAATTTTATTAGCTTTTGGAGTAGTGTCAGTTGAAGCAGCAAATTTTCCTAGTACAACACCTTGTTTATTTTTTTCCTCACTGTTGCACACTATTCAACTATTATTATCTTAAATGTTCTAATCAAAGAAAGATTAAAAACAATAATAAAACCTCCGTAAGTTTGGCATACAGGTATTTTTCTATGTCAGAGTAAATGTAGAATGCTTAAGGACACATAATTTACTCCAATCTTCAAAAGATGTATAAAAAGTCTTTGAAAGACTATGAATAATAATAACGATTGTGTAAAGGTAAAAATTCCATTAGCAGTTGAAAGTGCTTAAGAAACAGGACCTAAATAGTTGTAGTCATAATTAATTCACCAAATGAAAAGAAGCGGTGAGAAGCACAGTAAGAATACACAGAGAGATCAGCAGTGCTTAAGAGAGTGAGAACTGGAAGTGTATGACAGTAGGATGTAAAATACATGATCGCTGTGTATTTTGGAAGGGTACATCACTCACAATTGGAGATATCAACAGTAAGTTAGAAGGCCATCAAAAAGGAGTACCGCCTCTGCATTCTCCAACATGCACGTTTACTACAGAAAACAAACGAATCTTTCCCCAGTGTAGTTAAAAATCACAGGACAGGAATAACAAATCACAGCAAAAACAATTATGCAAAGGCATGTCCAGTGACATGGCAAACGGGCTTCTGCAGAATCAGAAATCTATGCTGATCAATGTAAACAGAAATTCAAGGTTGTCACTGATGTTTATTCTATACCAACATAAGTTTATTTCACTTGCACACGCTGGAAAGCTGTTTAAGGAAAAAATGGATGGGGAAACATACCTCTGATAAAAACGTCTGGGCTGATTTCTGTGCTCCTACATGGAGCAGATATTCATATACGTACAGTGCTAATCTGAAAAATAAACAAAAGGACAATATTTAGTATCGTGCACTTGTTTGTTCCTCTTCTTTAGAAACAAAGGATTATCAGAAGTTTGAGGTGTATTCCATTGCCTTTTACAAACCACTATATACTGAACATGACAAATCTATTATCTATACTAGAACTTTTTAACTCGACAAGTAGGTCAATCTGAGCAGAGGTGTTTAAATAGTAGATAATTAAATATTATTAAACCCCCAAATTACTTAATGTCAACATTTTTAATGATATTTGGAGAAGCACCCAGTGAGTTAACAACTGACCTACTGCTGTTCTGTATTTGCCCACTCTATACTGTGCTTACTGTAAATACAATACATATGTAGAGCAACACTGATTATTTTTCCAGATCAAATTTTTTTACATATGGAATGTGTCAAGCTGTTAGCACACTCGAACAATAGCCTGTGTTTATTCGAAGAACATGCAAACTTCAGGCTGCATCAGGAAAAGTAATCCCAGCATCCACCCACGGCATGCAGTGCAACCACATCTCTCAGGTGAAGTGGGAACAGAGTTTTAGATTCATTTGGACTTGTGCTCCTAGGAGCTCTGATGATAACAGAGCTACAAATGACTCCCACTGCTTCCGAAGGAGCTTCCCAAAAAGTCATCATCAGCACCCAGTGACACCTCCAACTGAGTCCAAGAGCTCGAATAAGGAGAGGAGTTGTTCCCTGAATGACTACCCACTGCATCTTGGGCTGGGAACCCCAAAAAGCCACCCAAGAACAGGGGAGCTGTAACAACCACCAACTGCTATTGATACAGGCTACGCAGGCTAGATATGAATTAGAAAACCAAGAAGTAACACTTCATATTCCTCAGCTGACTCTCCAGAGAGGCTCCCATCTGTCTGCACGTTTCAAGTCTCTCAAAATTAAATCTTATTTAAAAGAATGATTTAATAATAATGCTTGGAAATTGTCTATAAAACATTTCAGTCTAAGAAAGGTAAAGAAAGTCAGGCTGTGTGTCTTTTAAATTTGCTAGCTCAACTGTTTTTAAGAAGTAAAACGTATTTGCATGCACTTCATGATACACCACTATTCTTATTTGAAACATCTTACTATTCATATTCAAAAATATGTAGTTTAGCTAAACAAAAGAGAGGCAGAGAATATCTATTTTCCTGTTACTGCTCAAAACGTTACGCAGTATTAGATAACTGTCATCATGGCACTGACAGAGCAGTAATTATTGCAGCAACCTATTAAGTGTGAAATTTTAAAATCCAGGAGAGGCATTCCATACAATTTTTTTTGTTAGTTGTTTATACTTTATACGTGCAATACACGCACTACTACTTTACTCTCTCTCCAACTTCAAAAGCAAAAATGTAATTTTTTCCTCAAATTAAAAAAAAATAAAATTAAATTGATATTCAAAGACATGACTGGTTTTATTTTGCACCTTGAGAAGGGTGGTATCCACTTTTTCATTCCAGTATTTTACAAAACACTTATTAGTTTGTATTGTGCCGTGTCAACAAATGAGGAAGTCAGTGTGCTAAGCAGAAAGGACTTGGTTCTAATGGAGCACAGTACGACCCAGCTCAGGACGCAGTGATATGCCTCTATAAGTACTGCAGGGGGAGAGAGGATCACATCCTCTCTAGCCCCTCATCCCAAAAGCATAATTGCATCTGTCCAAAAAAAAAAAAAAAAAGTCACATCTTGTTGACTTAATCCTTCCCAGTTCGACTATCATTCTGTTTTTAAGCAATAAATGGTTGTAGACAAAACCTAAGATCTAAGAAAGATGTACCAGGCAAAGAGGAAGCACTTTCTACAACAGCCAAGATGACTTGAATACCCCGTAATGCTTTAAAGCACCTCATTTGTCTTCAGAGATGCACTTTTTTTGTTCTTATCAAAACACGAAGCCTGCAGTCCAGATAAAAGGATTTGCGTGAGCATATCCTTTCTACCCCGCAAAGGAAAGTGAAACAGCACAAAACCCCGGCGTTTATTGCAGGCACGCCACCTTCATAAGTCTGCCATCTGTCGAAAGCTTTAGCAAATACTGCAGCCATGATACCCAAAATGACAGCCCAATACCTTAATACAGAGGAAGATTTGTTGAGTCTCATCTCAGGACGCCTGGAGCCTGCCTGCAAAACCCGGCGCAGGCAGCTGTGCTCCAGCACCAGTCAATGTCACTACCCTCTGCCCATCTTCACCAGCCCCAAAAACCCCCAAGATATTTCAACTGCTGAAAAAGACAACCCTAAAACTTGGACATAAACACATGGAATGTGCTAATTGAGCATAATTGCAACTATAACAACACCTCCAACTCTTCGACATCTCGACATACTAGCAGCAAAATGAAATGCTGAAACAACTGCATTTATGAAGTCTAGGGGGTAAAAATGGCAGATTTCAAGAAAAGACTAAATGTTCCAGGTTTTAGGCTTCCAAGTTGATCCACCAGTGGTAAATTAAGGGTGGGACCATGCTGGCAAGGGGACTGCCTGCCTCCCATGACAGGAAAGCTGGGACCACCTTCCATGAACAGATGTGACACCAAAGGCACAACCCAAAATAACCTGATTGGGTCTTGCTGGCTCTAAATCACTGGTCCGTCCCTAGTTATTACGCTGTCAGGAAGTCTTTGCAGAAGTTAACAACGTTACAGCTTCATTCAGAAATAAACACATTTACCACAGAGATCAAAAGGAAGATAGTTATGTTTTACTGCTTTAGCATGCAGCAAAAAGATCAATGGAAACTGATGCTCTGGGGTAAGACAGCACTAAGAAATCCAAAAAAGATGCAACGCTGTGTAACAAGGAGAATTACCAGATATATAAACTTTTAACTACAGCACAAGAACAGAATAAGAAAAATGGCTACAGTCCAAGGGTGTAAAATTAACAAATGAATAAGCTCTTTAACACCTGAGCAGAAGACTAAGAAAATAATAGTGAGGTGGTCTTCAACACCAAAGGACTTGGGTTTGAAGTGCCATTTTAAAAGACAGCTTTTACTCATTAAATTGGTGTGAGAAACCATGTAAAAGCAGCAAGGAAACATATGTTAAATTTTCACATTTGCGTACTTGTTGACATCCCATGAGTAATGTGAGGAAAAAATATTTCCAATCAATTTGTGACAACGCTGAAGTAATTTTCGTTAAAGACATGCCATAGGCCAGAGTCCCCCCTCCCTGCCAAAGCAATTAGATTGCACATTCATCTATGGCCTGATGATACACTCACTCTATTAAAAAAAAAAAAAAAAAATACTGTCTAGCTTTTATTGCTACAAGTGCTCATTTTGCTAAGATGGTGTGTCTTGCCTGAAATTTCTGCTCTCAGTGAACAAGGCATTCATACATCCTATGAGTATCTACTCAACTCCAAAGAGAAGAAACGTTTAATCAGTTCTAGTCAACTAGTTATCAGAAGATTAACAGGAAATAAACAGCAATCATGCTAACTGTGCTGTGGAAATGACCTTCTTACATGTTAAAGTGGGAAGATGCAATTAGCTTAATGAGAACTTAAAGCCAAAGCCGTGCAGCAGTACCTCCACTGATGAAAACTAGGTGGCAAACTCCCCCAATTCCAAGTCAAAAGATTAAGACAAAACCCAACTTGCCATAGGAGGCAGTGAAAACCTGAAAACACCACAATGACGTTCACCTTATCTGTTTTTAGTATCTAACTTGGGTGCTCTGAGTGCACCGCCCCGGCAAGCTCCATTGACTGTAGGTAGTAGGGTACTCAACCGGCTGTTCAGAGGAACATATGCCTAGGGAAAAAGGGCTCAAGTCATTTCCCCAAAGTCTTTCAGGAAATAATTTGTCCATAAAAGGTAAACCAGTAGTATCTTTGCTTTGTTCCATAAGAAGAGACGTACCCATAAAGTTTCTGTCTCTCAGTCCAAGACTGAACTTCAAGCACTGAGTTTGGTTTATTGTTATTTCTAAGGAGACAAAAACAAAAAGGAGAACGGCCCCGTTTTTCCATGAAGGTCAAAAGCTGGGCTTAGAAGAGTAAGGAATTGCAATATATTAGCTTCTGCTTTCTCTTGAAAGCTGCCCACTAAACCTGCCAGAAGCAGGCAACTATCATACACAGCTTCATGCAGTCAAGAAGCACACTTGCTTTCATTGTTTTATTAGCCACCTGTCATAACTAAAAATATATGGAATTTAACGGAGGGTACAGTGCTGCATAACCACTGTCCAGAAAGTCGTGTAACATCAACGTGACGGGGGAAGAGCCTGCAGGTCCTCAGCTTTGGCCGGGTGTCAAAGCACAGCTCAGGCACTGTACCTGCCCTCCGCAGCACCGACAGCCAGCGTACCACTGCGACAAGCAACTGCTGCCTCTTCGCCACAAAATCTACAATGGTGAACGACTGCACACCACAGAAATGTCCCTAGATGCTCCCACCTCCTCCGCCAGCAACAGACATTATGCTGTTAACATCTGATGCTGGATGTAAAAAAAAAAAAAAAAAAAAAAAGTATCTATAATGGGATCTATAAAAAAAAAAAAAAGTATCTGTAACTCCAGATCTGAGCATAACTAAGATAGATCTAGCATTTTTGGATTGTTAAAGATGTCATTTTTTGAAACTATTCATGTATGGGAAGTTCTGCGTATGGCACACTATCCACTTAACTTTTGGGTTTTTAAACAGTAATTAAAAAACACAATGAAAACTAGTAAATCAACATCCACATGTAATTTTTAGTTTGTGTGAAGAAAGTGAAGCAGCTGAGCAACATTTAAAAGTAGCTCCATAGAAAAGACCTCAAATGTTCCTTTCCGTGTTTCAGGAGGCTTGCAGTACTCCAAAATCACTACTCTGACCTATACAGAGAAGCAGCTTTTCATTTGTTTCCAAAAAGGCATAGAGTTTTCTTTTCAAATCCAGAGACTCCCAGGAATCTCACTCATTTAATATCCAAAATATAAATCTCATTTTCTGAAATAAGAGAAAGTAGCACTGAATCCATACAACAGCTAAAAACATCTCAAAATTGGGGTTTCTTGAACGAAGTTTCTTGAATCCACCAATCCAGCACTTTAAAAACGGCTCTGAAGCTCCTGATGGCGAGCTGGTTTTGCTAAGTTTCAACTAACAACAACAAACATTTTTTTTTTTTTGAGAAAGTTTCATATTTTTAACAGACAT